GCTCCAGGGCAATAGAAATGATATTCTTGTTATATAAATAATCACTTAATTAGAATCCTTATTCTTGTTGCCTTATTTTTCTCGCTGAAAGAGGCGAGAAACTCTACATGTGGAAACCCAGGTGAGCTGATGGAGGTACATTAATTGATAAAAATTAATCCTGCAACTAAAAATTTTTAAGTTTATTTGTCTTTAAAATATATGTCCAACTCTGTAACTCAAGTAAACTCCCAAAATATTCTAATGACTCAAATTACTTTCTTTATTACATTCTTTGTATATGGAAAGCTTAAAGAACACTGGCTAAAAACTTGAAATAAAAGCTGTATTATACTTCGTTTGAAATGTGTTTCAGAATTTGATTAGGTCATTGGATAACTGTGCTTCACCAAATGAAACAAAACTGAAGTGCATTCCGTGTTGGATTTTTAGGCTTTATTTTAAAATTATGTGTGTAATTATAAATAAACTATAAAGCTGTATATGCTTTCTATTCCTCTCATTGGCCTGACTCCAGCACGCCTTCTGGAGAGGAAGGCAGACATGTGACGTCTAGGAAGTGTCCTCAGATCTGCTCATGAACCAAGGGATGCGTATTACGTGACACGTGTCATAGAAGAAAGAGGATGTGAGCTACTGGAATAGACAGACGTTATAGAGCCATCATTTAGTTCTTACGCCAAATTGCTTAACACCGCCGGTTAAGGAGTGAGGATCTGTGCTAGCTGCCGAGGAAACAACAGGGGTCAACACAGGCAGGATCCTCTTCCTTGAGAAGCTTGCGTTCTAATGGGCAAGAGAGATGTCAAACAGCTGTACCCGCTAGGTGTTTAATTATGGCCCTGGCAACCGCTGAGAAGGGGGGGTGCAGGGTCCTGAGAGAGAAAGAAGGCATCTGATGCAGTCTTGTCGCCAGGAAGTCATTAGGAACGGCTTTTCAGGGGACGTGAGGCTTAAATTTGAGAGCTCCAGGCTGAGATGCAGTTAGCCGGGGAGGGAAGCAGGGCAGGGACGTGGTGTCGGGGAGGCTGTTTCCGGGAGAAGGGCTCTGAGGTGGGAGAGAGCTCACCGAGCTCAGAGAATCCAGCGGCCGACGGTATGGGATAGAACAGGGGAGGTGGGTGAGGGCCCCTGGCCACACTAAGCAACCTCGAGTTTCTGCCTATGAAAAATGGGGAACTACTGGAGGATTTTTAAATTAGGGGTCAGCTTGTATTTTCAATATCTCCATCTTCACTTTTAAATTTAAACTGCTAATTTCAGTAGGTTTTCTTAAGAAAACAATCTTAAAATAATTACATGTAAAACGTTTCCCCATTTTGCTCCAAAGTCAGTTCTTCAAAGATACTAGTATCTGGAAAGACCACCACCGCATACCCTGTTTCCTCCTGAAATGCAGAGACGGTGCTCCCGTCGTTCTGGCAGGGGTCCTGAGAAGGGGAGTCCGAGTCTCTTCCGTCTTGATCTGCAGCAATATTGCTTATTCGATGTTGTTGCAGGTCCCACCTTCGGGCGACGTTGTTAATTGTTAACCTCTTCTTCTCCTGCGAAAAAGTCCATCATGACAAGAATTACAGAATGCAATTCTTGTAGCAGAGAGTATCCAAGGAGCATACTGTTTGCACTACTTCTCACACCTTTAAAAGGAGTCTATTACTTAAAGGTAATAGATACATGTTCCAAAACACAGTGTAAGTGCCCTGTATTTACCCTGTGCATCCAAACACCACAATAATGCTCCATCATCCTCAAAAAATTACATTTAAACAATAATTACTTCCACTAGAGATTTAAAAATTCACTATTTGAAAGACTAATTTGACAGAAACTATAGACTTAAGCATTATTTGAAGTTATAATTTAACAGAAATTTATATGCCTTTGTGTTTAAACATAGCAAGAAAAAACTAACATTTTAATTTCCCTACCCAATAATTAGGACAAATATGGTGGAATAATCGAGGGGGAGGGGGCAGAAGAGGTGCTGATCAATGTTCCAAGCTTCACAGCATAAATTACGATGTCTGAAAATTAACAATTACATACACACTGCTAAGAGAACTTACACTAGGCTGAAATATTTCTAGATTACCCATTATCAAAAGTTAGGATTTTAAAACGAGATGCCCATTAAGTCAGAGTGCTAAACACAGACACTTTCCCTGCCTTCACTAGGAGCACAATCATCCAGTGAGAACCCAGCGGCGTGACACTGACCCTCTTCACCTGCTCCCCCTGGAGCCACTGCAGGCCGTCAGGAGGGTCCTCTGCCCCTCCCTCCGTGCATTTACACGTGCACGAGACTTACGTTTAGTTCTACCTCTTTGCGTATATAAAATTTTAGCACGCAGAAACGGCACTAAATAGCAATGAAAGTGATGGCAAAGCTTAATCAAATCTACACTGTTGAAAAGTCCTATTTCTGCATTTAAAAATGTTTTTAGCATGGGTTCTTTTTGCTGTTGCTTGGTATTTCAAATTAGTCTAACCCATTTGTTTAACCCACTTGTTAAATGGGTTTTACTTAATATGTACATGCTTCTGAGACTTTTTGACATTTTATGTATGTCTTTCTTGTCTAAAGCAAGTAGGAATCTGCTATTCTACTCTAATTTTTCCCCCAGAGCTATAATAAAAAGACATCTTACCTTAAAGAATTCTATGTCAGTTGTTTGTAGATGACTGGGACAGCCCAGTTCTTAATCTAAGCTACACCATTACTTTTACTCAGTACCAAGGCTACACTGACAGAGGCGGGGGCAGTGAGTTAATGGGGGACGCCCACCACGCTGGCTCCGTGCGCCCAGTTTTCTGGCTGACTTGGGTTTGGCAAAAATAAATATTTTTAGTGAGGTAGATATAGCAGTGTTTAGACAAAAGGCACAAAATTTCACACCGCTGAGTATGTTAACAAATTTATAACAAGACACTCTGAAAATGCAAACACTTTCCTACACCAATCCTAAACTGAAGTCTCCAATTTAATTTAATTGGGTTATTAAAATCAGATCAAGACCAGGTTGACTAAGAAAATGAATATTTTCACTAGGGCCAAGAAAAAGGAAGACATATTTTAAAACAAGAGTGCAGCCTGGGGTCAAGGAGGATCACTGGCTGGCCAGGGGCCAAGCAAGGGCTCCAGGTATCTGTGGAGCAAGAAAAAGAGGAAAAAAGGAAGGCTAGAGGCCCAGTAAGGCAGAACATTTCATGCTCAAAGATCACGAATATATTCAGCATATTAGTTACAATCATGTTTCTATAGCCAGATGGCAATTTGCCAAGTCTGTGTTCAAGTGACAATTATTTTAGAAGACACCAACTTCAAGCTTCCGCCCCCTTCGGTCTACTCTTTGTTGTCCAGACAACACCACGCCAGTATCACCAGCACATCCCACAGCTCCCACTTCCATTCACTTCCAAGGCTGGAAGGAAAATGGAAGAAGAGCATCTGGGCTGACGGTGCGCGTCCACGCCCTCTTCCTGCCCCTCCACAAGCGTCCGGCCCGCCTTTATAAATGATCAGTGCGCGCTGTTACAGGAAACAGTCCCCAGCAAATGCTGAGGGTCGTTGACATCATGACCCCGAATCCGAGCTAGGGCTAGGAGTCCTCATTTCCCACTCTTTCCCTCTTACTAAAAATTTTAAAAGCTAAATAACCCTCATAATTAGAGTCCTATTTAGTGACCTCAAGAGAAGCGTTAGCTGCTTTATGACATCTTCATAAAACTTTCCAAACACTTAAAAAACATGTTCACTAAATATTTAATGGCATGTCTCCAAAAATGTTGATGGTAACGAGCAGCTGAATTGGGTACAGAACAAAAGCTTTTCAGTTCAAAGGTGGAGCCAAGTGCAATCTGTTGCCTACAGTTGGCTCCACTCACACTGGGAGCCTCAGAGCTAAACCGTCAGTGGACTTTCTTTGCTGACTCTCCCTTCCGTTCTCCAGGGCTCACACAGAAGGCACCTTTAGGTCTGAGGGCTTTGGTCTATTCATTCATTAACTCATTCATTCACTCAGTCACACAGGCATCTGACAGCAGCAGCCTTGTCAATGGTAACTCTTGTTCCTACACGTTTAAAAATACTTATTTCCTATAAACCAAGGTGTTTTGGGCCAACCCTTAGGGATGTTCCAGTATAGGAAAAAGATTAACATCCTTTTGGCTAAATCAATCAATTAAAAAGGTAGAGCTGTCAAGAGGGGGCTGGGGCACAGCTAACTAACGGGATGAGGGAAACCAGGCAAAAGCTGGGAAGGAGTCAGGCGGCCAGAGAGAAACGGCAAGTGAGGAGGTCAGAGCAGACCAACGGTCCTGATGGCTCCCGAAGCAGCCGTCTGGAGCTGAGGGGGCTTGAGGTCAGGTTTGTTTTATTTTGCTTTGTTTTTGTTACCTTAGGAGAAGTTTTCATCAAGCGAAACACACAGATCCAAGTGTACTTTTTGATCAGTTCTGACAGGTGTGTGCACCCGTCAACCCACACCCCTAGCAAGGTGCACAGCACTTCTGTCACCCCAGTGAGCGCCCTCATTTCCAGGGTTTACAACTTTGTATCCCTACCAGTCATTTTTAAAATCCTGAATGCCATGTTAATTTTAAAAAGAAAAGCACCTACATGATACAAGAATGAGTAACGCTCATTTTTCAGTGATAGCCTCAGTCTCAGAACAGAGTGGGAAGCATAACACAAACCCTGAACGTTAAACTGTCTTTATTTATTACACTCTGTTATGTTAAAAAAAAATTAAAGAGAACATTTTAAGGAAAGTAACGTCTGATATGCTAAATCATTCTACACCAGTTTAAAAAATTAATTTCTAAATCCTCAAAATCTGTACCACCTCTGTATCAGAGAAGCTAATAGAGCAAGTTTTTAAATTTAAAAAGTCATCATTTAAAAACCCCATGTAGCAGAGCTCATTAAAGTATCAGCAGAGATGGCAGTCTATCCCAGGGGTTCCAGAATGAAGCGCACATGCCGTGAGGACACACAAGGGGATGTCCTGGGGGGGGGGAAAATGGTAACTTCTGTTACATTCACTTTTTATCTCCTCCTTTGAAAATGTCTAGCTTTTGAATGTGTTTTATAATGCACGTTACACCGTATTTCAGAAGTACAGGTTTATTTATAGGTAGTAACTTATAAAAGTTTTAAGGGTGCTTGTTTATTTAAAAAACATTCCACTGATAGGAAAAATTGACAACGTTTGAAAACGGCTTTTCTAGCTGACCAGCTGGGGCGCGTCAGCGCGGGGAGCGCGTGCGCACACGCGCCTGCGGACGTCAGAGAAAGTACCTTAAGCAAAGACTGCTTCTGACTTTCCCGCTTCTTCTCTTCCTCTTTTTTGGCCACAACAGATGCCATACGCCTTTCTTCTTCCTAAAAGAAAAATTTTTAGAAGCATTACAATCTTTTTTATGCTAAATACCTTTGGTTCAACAAGCCTGATTTCCTTTGCCTGTCAGCATGCTACTTGCTACCGAAAAATACTCTGCCAAAATAAAAGTCAGTGTGTCCCTCTTTATCTTCTTCCTCCTTCCTAATTCTAAAACACCTGTGCCTCCTTCACTCTGCTCCCACTCTTGGCGTGAGGTAACCCTGACTGAAACAAGGAAGAAGAAAGAATGAGGGGAGAAAGAAGGTGGGGAGCAGGGGTGTATGCCTTCTCTTTACACTGGCCTTCCACGTGGAAAGACTTAGCAAACGTTCTATCACCAAGATTAAAAAGGACAAAACTTATACTTCTAACATTTTTATTTAATTGATGATTGCAAATCAGAGCTTTTTAAAAGACAAAACAACTGTGGAAGTTCTCAAAAACTCTCCATTGATATTAATTATTCTTCATTAATATCATCACTTTTACTGAGTTTTTAAGCTGCTCTGGTGAGTCTAATCTCTTCCACTCTAAAAACCATGAAATAACATTACAGACAGTTTTGAAAAAATTTTTAAATGCCATAATCCCAACACCCTCACTCAAATCTTACCATTTATGTATCACCTTATGATATCCACTATGAGCAAATTTTTTAATGTTGCAATCTGGATCGTGTTTTTTCCCCCCGTGAAGATTGGTAAAATTTAATATTGTAAATTATAACCATGTAACTTTTAATTTTTATTATCAAAAGATTTGTAGGCATTCAAAATGATGTCACAATTTGAGAAAACAATTTCTTCATAAAAGATAAGCCTGAAAGTACTTCAGAGACAGAAAACTCCGAAAAGCAACTCAGTACATTTGAAGGAGAACTTTTCAAGAAATAAAAAATTACAAACACTGAAATTAAAAATTCAGTGGAGGTGGGGGTGAAGAGCAGATTTTACACAGCTGTAAAAGAGGTCGCAAGACATTTTCCTGTGCACATTCAGACCACCCCCTACTTGCCCATCACAGCACTCAGCCTGTTTCAGTTAAATTCTCTCTGGTACCATGTCTCCCCTCTCTTGCAAACAGCTGCACAAAGGTACAGACCACGTCAGCTCCCCAGCACACAGTAGATATTCAATTCAAAGAATGAATTATTC